GTAGAGGAGGCTGGGTGGGCCCCAGAGCCGGTCTGGACGCAGAGGTTAGAGGAAAAATCCTCTGCCCTCGTCGGGGATAGAACCCCGGTCGCCCAGTCCGTAGCTAGTCACTATACTGACTGAGCTACGCCGGCTCACGAACCAAAAACAGTGAACCATAATAGAAAAGAGCAGTATTATTCCCTAAATTCTAGAAAATTCTATATTCCTAACATCTGTAAGTATATCTTTGCTCTTAGAATCACTTTTGGAATCGTTTATACTCAAATAACAATGCGTTAAGTGCATTGCTTGGTCAATTTTTGCGTTAGTTTGTTCTACCGGAGGAGAGGGTTTCATTTCAGACGGCAAGCAATTGCAGCAGTCAGTAAGCGTAACTGTTTGAGCCAGCCAAATTGGCTCAGTACGCCGAGCATGTACGAGACACTCCGCTATCACGAATATTTGCACAAAGTTTTTGCGTGCTACTTATATCAGTGATTAGACCTAATAATATAAATTCCCTTCTCTTCTAAAAATAATGAGAAGCTTGTAAGAGTGAAGCAGAGTTATTTAAAAATGTTCCTATGATCCTTTTTAGTAACAATCTCCTTCTGGTTGTTTGCAACACGTTCGCATGTCAGTAGATGTCACAATTTCAGACACTGGAGACGGTATGTTCCTCTGAAATGTGAGAGTTGATGTTTTCACAGCGGTGTGTATGAAGATTTCCGTCTTCTGGGTTGTCGCCCTGATGACGGAGACCGTAAGACCTCTGAAACGTTGGTAAACATCGACCAGACTATCACCATCATCCTCATCGCTGTGAAAACCTCATATTTCTCATTTCTGTAAGTCATATTTGTGTTTTTTCATGATTTTATTTGTAGAAATTTGACCAAAATAATTGCATCAAAACACGTACTCCATAAAATGGGCGTGTATAAAAATATTGTACGTCTAATAACATTTATGTTATTGAAAAATAACTGGAAATGTTACGAATATTAACGAAATTATATTACAATCTCGAGCAGCACAAGTTGTTTAAACACACGCAAGTATCAGAAACACCAAAGTGAGAACTTGAATGAATGTGCATAAGTTCAGGTACATTATTCAAAATTTTATAAATATGTAATGGTAGAGTATGTAAAATATTCTCTATAAATAGGATACAAAAAATTATCATTAGTGGTAAAATGGCTTACTAGACATGATTACTGCTTCAGTTGTTGGTGATAACATTGATTAGGTGATAAACGAGTACTGCCAAGAATAACATTGAATTTATTGTCCTAATTTTCATAATCTTGCACACGTTTTACTGAGAATTGAAGGGACAGTATTTTACTACTGCGTAAAAATAATTTATTTAAATATTTGGATTTAAATTTGCGGTAATTTTGATTGCTGGCATCTTTGTTGTAAGAATCCAATAATGTAGAAGTATCACTGTGAATTATATGATTTGTTATTTGTGATTGAATACATAAAATTACACTTTTTTTTCTAAGTAATAATTGTGGTAATTGATAATATCTGTGCCCTTTAATATTATGTACCTTACAATTTTATAATCGAGTATTATGAAATATTACACATTTAGTGATTTTAAAATATACACAGATCTGACATGAGTTTTTATAAATTCAAAGTAAAGTGTTGGTAAAATTGTACAATTTATTGTAGTATTTTGTTATAATTTTCCAACAGTAAATAAAGTAATTTTGAATGAATATCATTATTCAATTGCATGAAATACTGTGCCTTAGCGTACAGAAACTAAAGGAGTGACCAACATGCCTTAACATTCTTTATTACATATATCATTTTTATATACGAAAAAATTATTCAAAGTAAGTTTGATCACCGATCTATCAATACAAACTGATTCGCCCATAAAAATGCATCTACCAAAGGGTCAGTGGCCTACAACATCCTTAATCCTGCCCTGTGTGTGGGGAATCCCTGCTTTAGAATGCTTGGCCTCGTTACACTAACGTCTGGACACAAGACATAGTTACTAAGTGTGAACAACTAATCTAGGACTACCTTTCTCTCGGAAACAATTTCCTTTCTCATTATATTCATCATCCAAGTCATTAAAAATGGGATGTCTATCATAACCTGATTAAAATCCCTGGAAAGAACATTTTCAGCACTTGGCAGTAGAATCTGTTGCATGATATCCTATTCAAAGTAATTATTTAATAATAATTATTGTTATTCCATTAAATTACGTGAGAGGTTTGGAAAATACAGACCTGGACATCGCTTGGATATTATTAATAATTCATGCTTATATTAATTTTTCATATACAGTGTATCAGGTATTTTAATTGAAATTGTACAGCATAAAACGTGATACAGGCAGAAATTTTAATGTTCTTGGTCTGTTAGCACATGCATTTGCTATTTTAATTTACTAAACCACAACTAAATATGAAAAAAAAAGACAGTCCACATACCTCTTAATGGTTGTCATAAAATGTTGAGAACACTAATCCGAGTGAAGAACATCCTGTTTAAATTAATAATATAATTCCATATTCACAAAGTATGATATATTAATATGTATAATTGATAATACCTTTTTAATAATTTTGGATGTTTCTTGAAAGGATGTCTGGGTTATGATTTCGTCAAAATAGATTTGTCCTGACCCTAACCTGGGCAAAGCTTTTTCCATGCAAGGCTGTTTCTTCCGTTTCTGAACGAAGCTACGAAATATACGGCATTGCACGCCACTGTTTGTTAATATGCTGTGCTGTTTACTCCTTAACACCTCCTCGTCCATACAAGTGCACCAGTAGCAACTAATCGAAACTATTCCGTTTCCGCCTTTGTAGTTATTTTCCCACCATTACTTGCCGCACGTTGTGAACACACCCAAATCTGCGTGGCATCACCAAACGTTTTGTGTGCTTCGGTTGTCGCAAGCAGAGAAACGGCGTTTCTCATCAACATGGCAGTTTTAAATGGCGTGCTGATCGTACAAACACGGTGTTCTTTAGAAAACCTTGAAGTAATATGAAGGTTTTGACTGGAGCTTTGTTATTTTGCTGTGTCTTTCCAAAGTTTCCGGTTTACACGTGCCTGTCAAATGCTTTAGTCTTGTGTTAAAACCTCGCATGTTTATACAGACATCTTTTGCGGTTAGAATTATTTCAACCCCCCCCCCTCCTCAAGATAAAATTATTTATAATTTTTGTGTAGCGAACATGAAAAGTGATGTGTTAATGCTTGTGAAGTGTTGTGTCATTCTCCTTATGGAACGTGTGAAGAATTTTTTGTATACTTTACTAAGAGCGATGTACCTGTATACTATAAGAGTGTGAGTGATACGTTCAAAGTAGAAGAGGATTTCCTTCAGTGTTCTTCAGACGCAACTCCATGGGGCATTTGGTGAGTGTAGAACTATGATTAATTTAGTCAGTGCGTATTTGTTTCCCACAAAGCACGTATAAGAGGTGACTAGCTACGGACTGATGACGAAGTTATGACGTCACAGAGTTAATTGCACATTTTAACTAATTGTATATAGGGCTCTTAATGGCTATTGTACGAGACTGCACGACAAGAGATTCAAACACTGAATCTTCAATCCGTGTTCGCGAGAAAACATACTTAAGAAAGGGCTTATAATCTTGAAACGTAAGAAGTTTTATAGCATTTAAGAGACGCCGAATGGTTTATTATTCTTACAAACTTGCTTTAATCATATCAAGTTACAAATTTCCATTGTAATTAGAATAGATGACCATTTTATATTTTGTACCGGAAAATTAAGTATTTTGGTACTGACATAATATAGCCTCCTTAGCAGGCTACCTACCATACACGGCGACACGAAATTTAAGCTATATACGTATTGTTTAATTTTTAAGTTCTTGACCTTGAAGTATATCACAGAGACCATGCAAATTTTCTTGGGCAGATGTCCAGTAATGAAGACTTGCTGCAGGTTATTACGATGAATTTATAGGATACTAACTTCTGTATTTTTCATATTTTAACGTGATTAATTAAGTTTATTAAACGCTTGTAGTATCCCAGATAATTACGTGTCGCGCTCCACATATTGATATCCGACCAGGCGAAATATTAGAGACAAGGCTTTTACGGCGAGAAACGTCGGTAAAGTTTCAGAAGGAAGTAATATTCATTTTCAACGCCGTGGGAACCTGATTTCACACTTTTAGCGATACTTTACTGACAGAGCCATCGAAGGCCAATTGCAGTTAAGATATTCTACGTTGTCCGTCAGATGTCAGGACAACAAATAATTTATATGTCTACACTGCTGTATGGCGGAATATTCACTTAGCCTACATTTTACAATTTATAACGACTAAAATGAGAGGGAATACTTAGAGGGAAAATGAATTGTATGCTTTCTTAAGGGGAAATAAAATGTGAGTAATCACTCTTCTAATTTGTCCTCGAGAAACCAAGCAGTAAGTGATTTAGCCACAGGGGCATCTCGGGAACGAGTCTAGGTAACAAAAGACAGCCATGGAATTAAGTAAATGTTATATAGTAATATTCTTCAGAGTCGATTTTGTATTTCCCTCATAGTGCTGGAAGTGGAGGATGCCATTTTACCGCGCCAAACTACTATAATTTCTGATATTTAAACAAATACACTTCGTACGTTTTTGCACAGGAGCGCGTAGGTGCCTGTTTAATCCTGTTCGATCCAGTCCAATAAACCTGCACCTGCCTGATCAACTGATAAATATTCTTTACCTCAGGATTATTCTCAAGGCCGTCCGTATATTATAGTCAAATATGACATCAAAAGCCAATAAATAATTTATAAATACTTGTTGAATTTACAGCTACAAAATGTTATAGGATGATTACTCTGACGGTTACTGTAACAATTGTAGGTCTACAAGATTTGTGCAACCAAAAACGCAAAATTCCACATCCACCGCTGCAGTTGAATAACGAACAGTTTCCACCGATCGTATTTCTAAAATAAAATCCGAGATGGGTTCTTATCGTCGACATGTTAAAATTGGGATCCGTCCCTACTCTTATCACCGTTATAATCTAACTTAAAATAGTCTAATCTAACCTGAGTTTGAATGGAGAGGTTATAAGTGACAAATTTAAATCAGTACTTAAATAACCTGAGAGTGTTTATTGTATTTATGACGTGATGTGAGGACAAAACCCTATCATGTTGGGCACCCGGTAGGGTTGACCTCGTCGACCTTGATCGAAAGTTTCAAAATTCGTTGCATTGTTCACCCCGTACAACTTCGACGAAACAAAGGAGTATGGGAGAGAGAGATAAAAATACATGAAAAATATAAGGCTCTTAAAAGCCCAAAAGGAAAATGCAAGTTACGAGACATAGACGTATATGAAAGGATATTATTAAAATACTTCTAAATAACAAGGCTGTGGAAAGCGTGATGATTCGAGTAGACAGTGGTCAAATGTCGTTTTCAGGTAGTCTCGGGTTCAAATCTCAGCCCCGAGGTCGGCTATCCTTATTGAACATTTTGTAGTTAATCTTAGTTCTAATAGAAAAATTCCGGTCACGAATGGTGGGAGTTTAAGACGGGTAAAATCTTGTTCAAGCTTCTTTAATGCGTTATTTACACAATGCGCGTTAGATGAGTGCTTATTGGGTTTGACTATATTCTGTACTAATAGTTTCGGGAAACTGCAAATGTAACTCGTATCTCCCGGTAGGCTAACCATAGTCCCTAATTCGTAACAATCTCGAATCGAATATTGTTGCAGAGTGGTTAGTACTCTTGCATTATATTCTGGAAATCCCGGATTCAAATCTCGGCCAGAAGAACGCCTTTTTAAATAAATTTCTCGTAGTTTTCTTCAGTTTCTCTTGTCATATTCTGGGATAGTAGCCCACCTTCAGTTAAGCCACGACC